CAGCACCAATTTCAAAAGCATTTGCGTCTTTATACTGCACAGGCAGCCCCGTTTTATGAGAGGACCATCTTTCCAGCAGTGAAATACTTATTTAAGCTCGTCTCAAGTCTCATATCAGCTATTGCTGTTGTTGGGCTGACAGTGACTGGTTGGAAATTTTTAACATATCGCTCAATTCTAGCACGCACTTCCCATGTTAAGGCGCACCAATCACGGCTCTTGGCATTAAGCAGAATTCTTTGAACATATACACTAGATGGATGTGTTTCATCTTCCAGTCTTGTGAGATGAGTATGTGAGCCAATCGGGGGCTGGCTCTCCTCCACATAGCCCCACATTACAATAGATCAGAGACAGAAACTGGAAGCGGCGTGCTGCAGAGCAGAGGACTCCTCTCATCAGCACCCTGTTTAATCACTCACTCGAGTGCTGAAGGCAGAATGGACACACGAGCCCAGCAAAAGTCCTGCTGCGGCCTCAGCCGAAAAACAAAACACCCTGACAATGTATCTGAATAAATCCCTCTGTCCGTCTCAGCTTCTCCCTCTGAAAATTCTCTCCCCTTTTCTCCTCCTCCCCAATCCCCTCCATCCTTGTTGCAAAGTTTTCCATCTGCTCTCTGAATTACTGCCCGTGATCCCGCAAAGATGGAAATCAACCAGTCTTTTCAGGAGTCTGATTTAGGCCCAATCCCTACCGCCCCTCACCCTCTATCCACAGATGGTGGCCTGGCTCCTGCAGGGAACACTTCCACTTTGTGGATCTGATGCAACTGTGTGGTACGAGGCAACATTTTCTACATGGTGGTTACATTTTTTTTTTTTCCCCTGCAATAACTCACAAATGCATCTCAGGCTTTTTCAGACGCCTATTATAGTGAAGCCATATACTGGATTCTCAAAAGCCAATATGCAAATGTATGTCATTTGAATTGGTGCAGCAAGCACACAGAAATGGTGTCAGGAGGATTCTTTTGAAGAAATGTGTTTCACGCTGACAATTTTGGTCGTCTAATAAGTAGATTTGTCCACTTTTAAGTAGAGCCTTCTCTATAGCCTTTTATTCTCTGAAGTGTTTTTCTTCTGTCTGTTTCCTGCATGTATCAGTGCACCTGTTAATGCCAGGGGCGGATAATGAGATAATAGGCCCCTGGGCACAGATATGCAAAGGGCCCCACCACTTCTCCTACATAGGAGCAGTTTTGTGTCTCTTTGTTGTCCTTGTGCATCTTTTCTGTGTTTTTTAATCATTTTGTGGTCATTTTGTCTCTCCATGTGGTTGTTTTATATCATTTTACAGTCGTCTGTGTCTCTTGGAGGTAATTTTATGTCTTATTGGGGTCATTTTGTGTTGCTGTAAGGAAATTTAATGTCTTTTTTGGTTGTTTTATGTCTCTTTGTGGTCGTTTTTGGTCTCTTTGTAGTCATTTTGTTTCTCCATGTGGTTGTTTTGTGCCTTTTTACAGTCATTAGTATCTCTTGGACGTAATTTTGTGTCCACTTGGGGTCATTTTGTATTGCTGTAAGGACATTTGATGTGTTCTTTGGTTGTTTTGTGCCACTTTGTCGTCATTTTGAGTCTCTCTCTGGTCAGTACGTGTTAATTTGAGTGACATTTTGCAAGTGAAGGCCAAGGGGACCCCTGACACTCTGGGCCCCATGAGGCTGGTAGGGCTGTTCAGTAATTCATCCAGGGTTGATGCCTGTATATCTGGGCGGGTTTTGTCTAAAAAATATCAGAAAATAGCAAAAAGTACCCAAGATGAGATCTTCGCAATGATATTCAGTTTGCTATCATGTATGACAAAGAAAAGAGGAAGTAGGCACAGATATGCAAAGGGCCCCACCACCTCTCCTACCTTTGAATCTCTTTGTAGTCATTATGCAACTGTTTCTGTGGTTCTGTCTGCAGTTGTTTTGTGCGTTTTTACAGTCGTTTGTGTCTCTTGTCTGTTTGAGGTAGTTTTGTGTTCCTGTAAGAATATTTAATGGCTTTTGTGGTTGTTTCGCATCACTTTGTGTCACTTTCTGGTCACCATGTGTGAATTTGGGTGACATTTTGCAAGTGAAGGCCAAGGGGACCCCTGACACTTTGGGCCCCAGAAGCATATGCCTGGTAGGCCCATTTATTCAGGTACTTCATCAAGGTTTAATGCCTGTATATCTGGGCAGGTTTTGTCTTAAAAAAAAAAAAAGTCTGAAATAGCGAAAAATGCCCAAGGTGAGATGTCTACATGCCTTGTTTTGTCTGAGTAGTAGCCCAAATCCTAATGATATTCAGTTCACTATCATGTATGACAAAGAAAAGCACAATTATGTAATGATCAAAATGCTGTTGCAGCTGTAATTCCTTGACGCTTATACGTGCAAGTGGTCCTGTGTTACATTTCCCAGTGATGGTTACACAGTGTCAACTTGAAGCCCTGACATATTACTCATTCCAAACCATGCTCTAACTAGACGGTCTAGGCTTCACAGTCCTTTTCATCTGGATCCAAGTGTTATCTTAGCCACTGAAATAGGCAAAAAGGATATTCTGCCTTAACTTTAGATCAAACCGGGAAATGAGTCATGAGACACAGGATAATTACACCACTCAGCTGACAACATTTGCTGCTAATAGAGGAGACAGATGGTAAGTGAACATTCATTCAATTCCCATGAGTGACAACAGAGGAGTGAAAGTGTCACATTGGGTTTTACAGCATAAAATAAACCCAACACATAGAGCTACACCCGGAAACTGGACTTTCATGTTCATAACATCTTTGTGTCTGAGAAAATATGATGCGAATGTGATATTTTCTTCCTCTTATCAACCCCACTACAGTCAGCCCAGTTCAGCAGAGAGCCTCTATATTTCATAGCCTCTAATAATTTCACTTCCCCCTGAACTGACAGCCTGGACAGACAGCAGCATAAGCAAGAAAGAAAATATGGATCACATCTAGTGAAAAAGGCGAGAAATCCCCAACGGAGTGCCGAGCGTTAACTGTTATTAAGCATTCAAGGTCAAGGTGTGATCTTCACACAATCGGAGCAATAAGTAATCAGAGGAGACTCTCTGAAGACTGTGGGAGTCCAGGCTGTGTTTATGCTCCTTAATTTCCTCCTATAGGATGTAGGCAGGTGCGGAAGCATGAAGGGAGTCAGGCCAAGGGGATCAGAAAGCACAAAAACTAGCAGCGTTCACTATTAGCTGCTAATGGGAGGGTAAGCGCGCAGATGGTGAGGCTCGCAACACCCCAGTTAACAAACTAAAAAAGCTCCACCATGTAAATTTCTGTTGACAGCCGTAGTGGAGCGTCGCTGTTCCATTCAGCTCTTTTAATTACCTGTGTGTGTGTGTGTGTGATTTAATCCTTCATATGTCTCAGCCCATTCCTCTTAATGATCTGCTCCATTCAGCTCTCGACAATACACATTCTGCTTGCATGCCTTCGTTGTTGTTGCTGCTTGTTGCAATGAGTTCTGCATGCAAGTGTTAGAGTGAGCATTCCCTCTAAAAACAGAAGCACTGCCAGTGAGAAATACAAATATTAGCCAAATTCCAATGAACCAAGTCAAACAATCTCAACACGATCAGGCTTTTTTTATCCAACATGCATGTGGCAAACACTGTGCCGCATAGCTATACAGCGCTGAAGCAGACTGCAGTGTAAATGTTATCAATACTGCGGCCTAATTACCTCGGTTTTATCTTCTACAGGGGTAAAATCATGCATACATATACATAATGTGTGTGGTGTGTCAAGGAGACAAAGAGACTCAAACAGGCCTTTTTAGCCTTCAGACAAAAAAAGAAATCTCAAAAAATACAGCACTGTAATTACATTGCATAAATGATGAATAGATTCAGGGAATAAAAGCAGATTTTTTTTCAAAACATGAATGTGAATGAATATGAAAGGGTCTGTGTCATGTGTCATTCCTATAAAAGATATTTATTTTTACCACTCTGCCTCTGTCTCCTTCCATCTCTCTGATATGTGCCTGATTGTCACAATTGGAGAGGTTTTTTTATCCTGCCGGATGATGAAAATGGAATGGGAAGAAGTCAGAGTATATTCCTGCACAAAATGTGATCTAACTGCATGATTTTGTGCCTTTAATGTGAAAAATCTAGCTCCTTGGACAGACACAGTGCAGGAGAGAGGACTTCAGAGCTCAAATGTGAGCATGCATGTCTTCTACAGCTAGACAACCCAAAAGACCAGAGGCAGCTAAACACATCAGGAGGAAAAATCCAGCAGCTTTGAGAATGAGACTGTTTCCCCACAGTGTTAGCCTGCACCTTTGGGATCATCTAATGAAAATATGGTTTCAGAAATCACTATGCATTACAATGCCACAAGCCTCATTAAGATGTAAACTTTCAGGGAGTCAGTGTGTGTACACAACTGTGTAACCCAGCGTCTGTGTGGAGCAGCTCCAGGTTTTGGTCTGTGGATGTCATCACAGATTGGTTCAAGCTGTCGGGATTTGGAAGACTCGTGTTCACAAATACGGAGGAAATTGCCTAAAGGTCGTGGGAGCGTCGTTAAGTCTGCTCTAAGGGGAGCATTTCTCGCTTTTAATGAAGTGATTTCTAACTTTGGATCACACCTTTAAGGCTACCTGGCGCCGGAGCAGGAGCAAGAAAAGCAGGAGCAGCGTAGCGCAGGAGATTGTGCTGTTTTGGGAAATGGGAGCTTTCCCCCCTGAGCAACCAGACGCAGTCCTCCAACATAACCAACATTTCTCGCAGGAGTCTGGCACTATGAAAACTTTCAGCTCACAAAGTTGTGAAAGAATTTTTTATTTAATGCCGGGAGGATTAACATTGTGCCATTAGTAAGTCATGGGAAGCAGCAGTAAGCCGCAGATAAACGTGTTAGGGGAAGGGGGCACAAAGTTGGCACCTTCACCAGACTCGCTCCGCTTTCGCTTTCAGTGGAGTTTGATCCATATGTAGAAACTTCCCAACTGCGTACAGGGGATCGAGATGAATATGCGCCTTACCTGTTGGCCCCTCGATGCCATCGGCGTAGATCTGAACAGTCAAAATGAGCAGAAAGGCGCAGGTGTTCATCGTGTAGCTGTTTTAGTCCACTTTAAATGTGCAGGAAGAAATCATGTCTTTCACTCCGTGAGGTCCGGGCGCGCGAGCAGCAGAGCCGAGCCCATCTACTCCCCCAATTCTCACTGAGAGGAGTTTCGGAGACACTGAAGGAGACAGGGCAGAGCTAGTTCTGCAAACTGACGTCAGGGTAAACAGTTCAGAGGAGAGATTTCTTTCTCAAGCCCACTTTCCTCCCCAGCCTCCACTTCTTCGGTGATACAAAGTATGAGCCGGGCGCCTCCAAGCGGCCGGAGACGGTAACGACACTGTGGTATTCAAACGTCGGCCAAGCAAAGCCCCAGACTGTGTGTGTGTGTGTGTGTGTGTGTGTGTGTGTGTGGGCTGCTTCACTTGTATCTGTGTGGGGACCGTGAGGAGTTTCAGACGTGGAGAGTGAGGACATGTTTGGAAAGGGTGGATATTTTGCCCCCTCCTCACCTCATCAAAGGGCTGTTTGAGGTTTTAAACTGTATTTTAAGGTGAAGAAGAATTAGGCTCAGGTTTAGGTTAGGTATGTGGTTGGGATCTGAGAAAGGACAGTGGCAGACCTTCCTTTAGGTGACGGGAGGAGGGTGCCAAAATCCCCCCCTCAGAGGCTACAAGTGATGGTGGAGCGAAGCCATGAGAGCCTTTGTATATCAAACACAAGTTTGCATAAAAAAATAATAAATAAATAATGCTCATAGTCAGTCTCCAGAAGGGATACCACCTCAGTTCTTGGCAATGCATTTCACTTTTTCATCTTAATGTGTTTATTGGTGAGTAATCATCACTATCAGAAAATGCTAGAAAATGCACTGAAGAATGTGGAGAGCATTAAAGACAGAAAAAGAAAAAAATGAAATGGCAAAAGCCATTCGGAGCACAGTACACAAAATAAAAAACGAAATTTGGAAATATGCCCATGCCGATTTCTTGTCTTTTTGTTTTATATAGCTAATTGTGTATTTGCATTGATTTCTCATTACCTCTTCTTCTTGTTTGTAATAAATTCAATAAATATGGTAGAAAAAAGTGATAAGATAATAATACGTTTTTATTCGGGGGGATCGGGGTTCGAGGGGGTTGCTTTCCCAGGGCGCTGGATGTGCTAGGTGCGACACTGGGTTAGGCACAGGTGTAGATTTTTGCACTTGTGTGTCCCCCCTATTTAAAAGGGGGCAGTGCAATTAAATAAATACACATGGTATTAAAATACCTGAATTAGCCAAAAGGTTATTTTTGACCTGTAGTATCTTGGCCAAGATGTTACACAAGGCTACCTAAAATACAACAAAGCATAAAAAAAGAGAACAGTGCATACAGTTAAAAAGACTTCTCTGAACACATCAACAAGAAATGATTTCAACATGATTTTTTAATCACAAGAATGTAATGATCATCAAATGTATGATTCAGTGCTGAAGCCTGAGGCAAAATTGATGCAATATAAAAGGTCATGCAATTTTTAAAAGTACCGGAGGCAGTAGTGACATATCTCCATATAGAACAACACTGCAACACCAGCAGGACATATCATTAGCAGCAGCAGAAAAGAGTTAAGTGCTTACATGTGTATGTATTAATCATCCATTGTTTTAATTGATTACTGAAAGAGCTATAAGTGTTTAGTTCTATTCCACTCCCTTGAACCTCTTACAGGCCAGGCTGACTGGCTAACAGCACTTTTCCTCAGCGGAATAGTACAATCTCCTCTCTTCCCCTAGTGACATGATTAATCTTTGTTCCTCTGCTGATATAAGCTACAAGAGCTAAGCCATGGGAGACTTTGTATATCAAACACAAGTTGCATAAGAAAACAAAAATTGACAAATTGACAAAATTAAAGACATGGTGATGCGGAAAAGGCACAAAATGGTGCATCAGAATTCAAATTAAGTGTGTGAAGCTCAAACTTCCTGTTTCATATGTTGAAACAACACCTAGGCCCTTGGGGTTATAGGCATGTGGTTTTGATGGCTAATGCTGCGTTCACATGAAATCAGGCAGACGGTACACGGCAGATGGAAAACACCTTCTGGATGGCATGGGAAAAATAAACAGTGCGACAGAATGGCAGGACAGTAAAACAAAACACGCATGACAATATGTTGTGATGGTGGTGCCATATTGTCTACAAAGGAATGAAATAAAACATATTAAATAAAGTCATTTCCTGTTTATTATTCTGTGTACTTTTCTTGTAGTGTCCAGTAATTATCCAGATTGTGTGTGTTTGCCTGCGTGTGAGGGAGCTGTGTAACATCCAGTTGTAAATGCTGTCACAGACGTTGGGAAAAAGTTAAAATATTTTACCACTGCTGGCACTCTCTGCCAGCCTCACATAATTTTACCGTCCAGCTCTCATCCACTAAAGTGGTATTCAGCTTGCAGTCTACCTTCTCCCTGATTCCATGTGAGTGCAGCATTAGGTCCAGAACAGGGAATAGAGTTTTAGCAAGTATAGAAGCCTTAATGTGTAGCCTGTGTGCGTGTGTGTGTGTGTGTGTGTGTGTGTGCACTTGTATTAAGCATGCATAGGGACAAAAAAATCTTTTCACACAGTTAATTTTTGTGGACGTGTCCTCAATTTTGGGACAAGAACTTTACCCACACTACGCATTTCAGGACTGCAATTTGTTTTTTGTTAAGGTTAAAGTAAGAGTTTGGGTAAGAGTTAGGCATGTAGAGGTTAAGGTTAAGGGTTAAGGTTAAGTCTCCAAGGAATAAATGTGAGCCAATTTCCCTCTAAGTGACTCTGGAGACAGGGACAACAGTGGTGTAGTGATCGTCGATGAGGTGGGTGCACCGCTAGGCAGATGGGTTACTGAGGAGGAAGTGGGTATGGTGGCATGCAAAAGTTTGGGCATCCCTGGTCAAAATTTCTTTTACTGTAAATAGTTAAGTAGAAGATGAACTGATCTCCAAGAGGCATGGAGTTAAAGATGGAACATGCTTTTCGACATTTTATTTTTAGAGTGAAAAAAAGGAAAGGTGCACCATGAAAAAGTCTGGGTACCCCATGACATTTGAGCTCTCAGACAACTTTTACCAGGGTCTCAGGCCTAATTAGCTTGTTAGGGCTATGGCTTGTTCACAGTCATCGTTAGGAAAGGTCAGGTGATGCAACATTCAAAGCTTTATAAATATTCTGACTCTAGAAACCTCGTCCCAACAATCAGCAGCCATGGGCTACTCTAAACAGCTGCCTAGCACTCTAATAACTAAAATAATTGATTGACAAAGCAGGGGGCAGCTATAGGAGGACAGCAAATGGTTTTCAGGTAGCTGTTTCCTCAGTTGGTAATGTAAATAAGAAATGGTGGTTAACAGGAGGAGGTCAAGTTGAGGTCTGAATTACCAGGAAAACTTTCCAAGAGAGCTGCTCGTAGCATTGCTGGAAAGGCAAATCAAAACCCCTGTTTGACTGCAAAAGACCTGCAGGAAGATTTAGCTGCCTCTAGAGTGGTGGTGTGCTGTTCTACTGTGCAGTGAGACCTGTACAAATATGACCTTCATGGAAGAGTCATCAGAAGAAAATCTCTCCTGTGTCCTCACCACAAACTTTAGTGCCAGAAGTTTGCAAAGGAACATCTAAACAAGCCTGATGCTTTTTGGGAACAAGTCCTGTGGACCAATGAAATTAAAATAGAACTTTTTGGATGCAAAGAGAAAAAAGGGTGCAGAGTTTTAGAAAAAAGAACACCTGTCCAACTGTTGAACAGGAGGGTGGCTCAATCATGCTTCGGGCTTGTGTTGCAGCCAGTGGCATGGGGAACATTTCACAGGTAGATGGAAGAATGGATTTAATCCAATTCCAGCAAATTCTGGAGGCAAACATCACACCCTCTGTAGAAAGGCTGAAGATGAAGAGAGGATGGCTTTTACAACAGGACAATGACCCGAAACACACCTCAAAATCCACAATGGACTACCTCAAGACGAGTAAGGTGAAGGGTTTTCCATGGCTCTCATCACTGAAAATCTGTGGATAGACCTCAAACAGAGCAGCGCATGCAAGACGACCTGAGTATCTCACAGAGCAAGAAGCCTTTTGCACAAAGAATGGGTGAAAATCCCTGAAACAAGAATTGAAACACTTTTAGCTGTTATTTTGAAAGTCTAAAAGATTAAAATTAAAAAGAAATCTTGCTTAAAATATTGAAGAAATGTGTCATCTTTAACATCATGCATTTTGGAAATCAGTTCATCTACTTACTTCAGTACTTACAGTAAACGAAATTTTGACAAGAGGCGCCCAAACTTTTGCATGCCACTGTTTACTATATATTTCAATGGTGTTTTTGGCTGATGGGTAAGTATACTGTAAACAGCCAGAAACAGAGGTGGGTATACACTATACACCTGTGTATGCCCTCTAAGATGCTGATTTCTTTCTCTGCCTTTTCATGCTTCATGGCTTAATTTTAATGAGGCATTTCTTAGTATGCACTAACCAGCAGCTCCTTAAAGCTGTCACCATGCACCCAGCAGCACAGGTACAGGACTATCACTCTGACAACAGGTTGCAGAAATACTCATAATTTAAGTCGGCTATATGCCCTTGTGTTTTAAAAGCAACCCTGTAATTTGTCACGTCTGTGTTAACAATGATATAGTCATTCTTACGTTTTGAAATCATATCAGCTATCTGAGGGCTAATTAATCCAGCTATACATAACCTTTACTGAAATAAAGACTGTTTTTGTCATATTAACTGCTGTTTTACAGCTGTGGTTAGCCATATATTCACACAGGACAGACAGGTAAGCATTGCCTTCACACCTCCCTGTGACAGGTGCAAAGCATATTTCTCCATAAATTAGATAGTCTGTCATGTTGTGTGCATTGAATTTGCATTCGATGAGCTTAACATTTTTTTTCCTCTCCACCCACAGCTGGCCATGTTTATTGGAGAACACCTGACGGAAATCACTCCTGGGTTTTACATAGTGTTGTGTAAACTTACTCACACAGCAACCCACTGTGATTTTGACATGTACAAATATTTCTCTGGCGTGTCATAGTCCTATATAACATGTTGCGTATTAGATTATGAGTTGTTGGACACTAGTCAGATGCTGCAAGGTGTCCTCTCGTATATCATTACAACATTACACAGGCTCTGGGGTCCACCTTTGAAATAGCTGCACAAGTGCTGATGCTGCATGAACCAAGCTGGTGTTAAGAGCGTGGCCAGGCTGACACGTTTAGCTGCGGATCCAGGAATCCCAATTGGATCAAGATGCCATTATGGGGGCTATTCATCACTCATTTTGTTGTCGTGTGCAAACATTAAAAGCTGTGGATTTAATTACAGGGGGCCAACAGACGCATCTAAGGCTTCCAACATGAGTGCGCATCTCAGTCTCTAATGTTGTTAGCTCCAAATGACAGATGAACGATGGATTGCTCAGCAAATTGCTTAATTTAACCAAAGGAGCGCAGCATATGTCAAGCTAACACCTGTAATTACACCTGCTTGATGCATGGCAGCCATTTTGCTTGCTAGTATTCAAAGCACAGAATAGCAATTTATTTAAACTAGAGAGTATTTTGGCCTAAATATGTTCAACTGTATGATCGTTTAATTTGCAGTAAACCCAACAGGATGTTGCAAAACACTGTTCAAGTCCAACAACAGGACAGGCATCAGCATGATGCTGACAGCTGCACTACGATGAAAGTCCTTCCATCGAGTATTTCCTCAGCTGCCACTCATGACCCCTCACAAACAACTGCATCTGCACAGGCAGTGTTGTGCATGAATTTATAATAACATATTATTAGTTCTGAGGGAAGTTGCCAAAGGCTGGCTATCAAACCGTCACTGTCTACCACACGGCCTTTGCATGCGGCACGGTGCTTCAAAAGACAACAAGCAGCGAATCACAGGGCAGCTGCTGCACTACCATCTGTGAGGTAAAGCTTTGAAGCTCTACTGGCCACACACCAAACAGTGATATCACAAAAGTCATTTTTAATCATCTGTCAAATAGAAAATTATTGTTTGACATCGCTGATTGTTGTGTGACCACGAGTCTGAGCTGCTTTTAAGGTGAAACCACAGGGCGGCGGTTTCCTCCCCAGTGTGATTTTATTGTTGAATTATAACTTCTGCTTTTATGAATGAAACTAAAGTAACAGGTATTCATATCAGAGGTGGGCTGCCAGTGAGAAAGATGAGAGGACAAATAAAACCTGTTAGATTAACATCAATATGTGAGTCAGTGGAAGAATAAACAAAACTAATTGGTTTGTATGTCTAATATATTGGCCTCCTGCAGTGAGTCCTCTTCCTGTCTGTACTGTCATAAAGATAGTCAACACCAGCATTTTACAGTTCATATATAAATGGCAAGGTTATCTCTTAAACACAAGCATCTTCTGTTAAAATATCAAACAAAGGTTTTTATTTAAATGTGCTCATCATTTTTACAAGGAAATTGAGACATTAGTGTCCTACTCTCATCACATATTTCTTCTGTTGTGCTTTTTCTATGATAAAAAAGAGGGGGGAAAGTAAATTAACCAGATGATGTATTTGCAGCACATGTTAGTAAAATCCTGCATAAAGCGACAGCACATCAACAGTCACAGTACTTATATTATATAATTCTTACTGTCGGAAGGACAGTTAGTGTCCGGTGCATAGATCTTAGGCATTATAACAAGGGCCTAAATACAAGCCTGAGTGAGACATATTTCACAAAATCCAAATTATATAAAATTCAACACACAAGTGCAAATCACAAAATGTTCCATTACAAATAGTTATAAGAAATTAATTACAAAAGTAGAAGGAAAAATTGTCACAAAGACCGCCAAAAGATTCAAACTACTTCTAGATGGGGGAAAATGTTATCACCAAAGATCATAAATAGAACCAAACATTATATTTACACACATCTGAGAGGCATCTTAAGAACTGTATCTTTACTAAATTTAGAAATACTGACACAGAATACTGTTTCTAGTGTTATGTTCAATAGACAAGAGCACAGTCTGGATTTTAGGTCTGCAACTAACCATTATTTTATAATCAGTTAAATTATTTATTGCTGATTTATCACTTCTAGTCTATAAAATATCAGAAAATAGTAAAAAAAAAAAAAAAAAAGCCCATTGCAATTTCCCAGAGCCCAAAGTGATTAATTAATATTGCAAAATATTGCGAATTCAGTTCGACCGATACTCCAAAACCCAAAGACTAAGAAAAGCAGCATCATTTCAATCTGAGGAGCTGGGACCAGTGAATTTGGGGGATTATTGCTTAGATAACGACTCAAATGATTAATTGATTATTAAAAGTAAATCTACCTACCAATGATTTAACCAATAAGTCCAGAAAGTGTCAGTGACAGCCTCAATGCCAGAACCAATCTGTGCTTGTAACACTGCTGCAGAAACTCCGACTGATGTAACCGCAGTATATACACGAGCATACAAAGGGAGGAAAAATACAGTTTGACAAAGTAAGTTTAGTCTTCAGGCTTCAGGCACAATCCCTATTTTAGTCCAGCTTCCCTTTGAGATCATCTCTCTCTCCCTCACATACTTTTATGTTTCTTTGACGCCTTTCTTCCTGTAACCACCTTTTCAATACCTTGCAAGCTCTTCGTCTCGTCTACATCCTCACTTCTAAGGTGAGGGTCTCCTTGAAACTTAACAGTCCTCTGTCCAGGCTCTTTGTGAATCCCTGAGGTGTCCTCTCCCTCCACACCCGCCTGTCCCAGCCTGCGAAGCTTCTCCTGATTCTCACCAAGCTCACACTCCCTCTCCAGCGTGGTATTATGGGTGTCCCTGTCCATCCTGCCAGCTCCGGCGTGGTGGCGCTGGCCAGCAGAGGTAGAGAAATGGGTGAAGAGCTGAGGGTTGATGGTGAGCTGAGCGTAAGGTGCGACAGATAAACTGGTGACGGAGAGAGGCTGGATCACTGGGCTTGTTTTGACAGAGGACAGCATGTTGTGGGTTTGGCTGTTTGACAGGTTGTGACGGTGAGGTCGTAGGTGTTTCAAGGATTGAATTTTGTAAGAGGTGCTTTTATCACAACCCTGCTTCCTTCGCTCCTCCAAACTCTCATCCAGCACTAAGAAAAAAACAGAATATTTGTTATTACAGACCGTGGAAATATCACTGTATGTACCACATGTTGCCTTCAGCTTTCTCACCATAAAAATTGTTATGGATTTTGTTTTCTTCACCCTGGCTGCGCTTCAGGTCCAGAGCTTGCTTCACTGAGTCTAAAAGGCCAAACATCTTACACAGGGAATTAAGTATGACGGCATCTGACAAAACAAAATCATCAAAAGTCAGCCACAAGGCTCGAATGAATAACACAATGGTGCTCACATCACTTCTAAACCACTTTTTTAAAAAATCAATAACCATGAATTTCTTTCTCAACCCAGATTTGGCTGGTGGAGCCTTTATTAAAAATCATTCTAAAAATTTGATTACCATTTTCTTTTTAACTTGACTGACATTTCACAACATTTCCTTTCACAGTCAAGTGGCAAGTCGGAACTCACCTGTCTCCTGCAGGCTGGCCTTCTCACTGCGAACCTCCACTCCTTTCAGAGTGGCTAATAACTCAGTCTGGAGACTGGACAGGACCTCGCCCATCAGCCCCGAGTCTGCCACACCCTTCCACAGGCTCAATACTCCATCTAGAGAAGGTCAATTAGGTGGGACATTATTATGATTTGTGGGGAACTTTGTGAGTGTGTTTGTCTTTTCATTTAAAATGACAAAGTACCACAGAGAAAGTGGTGGCATGGAGGTGTTTTGTGAGAATATATGCATTCCTATAAGAGCTGTAGAATTGGACAGTAAAAGAGATTGGGCTCAGTGGGAAGAAAAGGCGAAGCAAATGAAATAAGGAATGTGGGATAAATGAGATGGAGTATGGAGGCAGGGAAATGTCTGGAAGTGAGATTTGAGGTGAGTTAGAGGTTTGAAAGAGAGTAATAAATCGTGGTGGGGAAACATAGGAAGAAGTGTCAGGGTTGGAGAAACAATGAAAAAAGATATAACGAGATAGAGGAAATGGGAGAGGTGCAGCACTTGGAGAGGGGATGTTAAATGGGTGATAGAGGTAGGAAGAAAAGAGCAGGAAAATGGGCTAGGAAGAGGAGAGGAAGGACAGGGCAGATTGGAGGGAGACTGAAAAATAACTTGGGATCTGTACAAAACTGATCCAAATAGAAGTTGAGTACATTAGAGTGACAAAATGTCAGAGGTGCTTGATATCTTATCTTGCAAGAAATGCGTCCACTTTCACGTTCGCTTAAAAATGTCTGTCAAGATAAATGCAATATACCAACGGAAAATATTCCAAATCCCATTTACAGCTATCTGAAGCTACATTCATGTATTCCTCCATGTCGGGAATGTACACTAATGAAAAGAAACAGTTCAGGGGAGATAGAGGAGCATAGTTATAGGTTGAGTACGTTCCCTGAGAGTTGTCAATTTGTTTTAAGCCCTGTGACAAGCAATAGCGCTTGTGCAGCGAGGCACTGCAATTTGCCATTCACACAAAAGATTACTTGAGGCTATTTTACCGACTGTGGTCCAGCTGGAACAATGCCTAATCAGGTCACCTTTAAAAGCCCTTAAATCACAGCTTAGGTCCCCGCAAGAAAAAGCCGCACTTAAAAATGTCAGATGCCGTCGATGGTAATATAAAGGGACGTGACTGGCTGCCTGCTAGTGGTCAGCAACTTTTTAAGGTCAGTCTGCAGGAATGGCAGAACATCCCACAACTGCAGATTCAGAGGTTCACTGGCTCGATGTATCAGAGGTGTCAGGCAGCAGTGGCTGCAGCAGGCGAGACACAAGGGACTGACGGACTGCAGGAGAGCTGACGTTAAAAGAATATTTCACCTTTTTAACATTTGTACATCATTCAGCCTGTGTTATGTTAATGTTAAGAAAACTTTTCTCACATGCCTCCACGATGACCATTCTTAATGAATTGAAGAAAAGGGGGACCACCTTTAACAACGGCATAAACTACAGTACATCAAAAAGGCTGTTCTTGAGTACTGTTTGTATGTATTCCTACAACAAGTAATGCATCAAAATCTGTATATATCCTACATAATCATGGGCCAGTAACTTGTGTGTAACCCATGTATTAAGGAAGGCTGCAATCATGTGACCGCTGCACTGACAGCAGTAAAGAAGGAAGCAGTCCCCATAAGGAGGCAGGCTGTGATGGTGGATGTGTCACAAAACACAGGACTTTCTCCAGGAGACAGGTGATTAAGTGAACTTGGAGTTATTCTAAGATTTGGCGTCATGTTCCTTTTCCTAAACCTAACCACAGTCATTTTATTATCCTAAACCTAACCTATGTAACCTAACCTACATTAAGTACATCCATCCATTTTCATCTGCTTATGCGGTGCCGGGTCTCGGGGCAGCAGGCCAAGCAAAGCACCCCAGATGTCCCTGTACCCAGCAACGTTTTCCAGCTCCTCCTGGCAGACCCCAAGGTGTTCCCAGAACAGATGAGATATGTAATCCCTCCATGATGTAAGGATCTACCCCGGGGCCTCCTACCTGGGACGTACCTGGAACACCTCTAACGAGCTCATTACCCTACCTCTAAGGCTGGCTGGGCTCAGCCTACGTTAGATGCAAAATGTCATTCCTGGGGCACTAATTTGTAGGCTATCCGTCAAATCATTGTATGACGATATGTTGTATTAAAACATCTGTTTACAAATTCTCACACAACTTGTACAGTATAATCCAAGTGTCATATATCCAGTCGTGGTCTCAGTACTTCCCAAACACATGCTTTTTCACTAAAACCTTACCATTTAAAGAACTTTCACATATGAGCAGTGCAAATGCGGAAGCACTGAGTTGCTGAGCCGTGTGAGACTGTTTATGCAGAAGTGTTTTACATAGTAAGGTTCTGGTGAAAATGCATGTATTTGGGAAGTACTGAGCGTATGACTTATACTGCATAAGTTGTGTGAGAGTTTGTAAACGGCTGTTTGGATATAGTTTTGCGGTTATTATAATGAAGCATGTCCACCATTTTTGGACTCTTTGTTCACTGTGGAGGCATGCCAGAAAAACAAAGTTTTATTAACGAATTCAAGGTAACACGGTGTGACTAATTAATATACAAATGGTCATTTTGTGGGTGAAGTATTTCTTTAATATGCACAGTTGTCATTGTTTGTCTGCTGTTTTGTCATTTATTATTCATGCAAAGACGGGTATAATTTGTGTCTGAACATTGCATTTCTTTTCCTCATCAGTTAACATTTTCATCCACCAGGACACACTGGTGCAAATTAACATCCGCCTCATTTAAAGGACAGTGTAAAGGACATGGCTCACGAAAGCGTGGCCTCTGGAGGACTGAAGGTCAGTGAGCTGAGCCTGTGTCTCCTCCAATAATAAAAAGGCATCTTATAAACTTTCCAAATTTACCTCCAGGACGTTGCCCTTGAACCAGCTGACAAAGTGGTTAATACCAGAAGCAAATGCATCTTCCATGAGTTCAAAGTGGAGGTCATTGCATATCACTTGAGAGACGTGTGGCGGGGAGACACGTGACTTCCTTGTGCCAACGCAGAACTTTAACAGTATACCACTGGATTACACAGCCATTAAACTGAACTTAAAGCCATGTGGCAGCTCCTATAAAAGCTGCAGGTGAGTTTCTTGCAGTGTCGGAGGATAGCGTGCAAGTGCAGGTCCATCAGTAAATGCATGAAGCCCTCTGTTGCCGGTTCAAAGCAGCTACTAATAATTGTGCAGAAATAATGCAGTTAGATGATAATTATTTGTATCACTCATGACCCAGTGGATGCTAAATAAAGTATAGACAGCGTTCTTATCTTCTTGTTTTGTGAAATGTCAAAACATATGTTCATGGATTTAGCTTTAACAATCAATATTTGTCCTGTCAGCCCACCCATCTCTGAGTCTTCTCCTGCACACCCACTCCTCCTCACCCTGTTCAGTTTGTTTAACAAGCACTCGTATATCCTTTTATTATATTTACCAGGAGGTGTGTCAGCCCTCTTTCTCTTCGCAGCATGTCCGTTTGCTGTTGTGGGATTCACATCGCGGGCCGCACCAGGGCTCCAATCTGCTGCTGCACTGAACTTCTCCTCCACAGGCTCCTCTACCTCTGCTGCATCATGTACAGCCTCCCCTGAAATAACCACAAAAAGGGATATACTGTAAATAGAGTGCATAAACATATCATATTACCAGCGAACATGAGTAGGCAGAGGGAAGACTGCCAAGGAAATCCAATTGTTTTTTTCTGAGATTATTACATTTTTCTGTTCAGTGGTTGCTCAGTAAGGAAACTGGTGCGCTGATTAAACGGTATCTAACTGCTCTTAATGCTCATTCCCTAATTCTTTATTGTCCTTGAGCTCCAAAAGCATGTGTCAGAAATTACTATTCATGTTTCACCATGGCAGAGAAATCATATCCAGGTGGCTTTGAAGGTTTCTGTCTGCATCATCTCAATCATGTTATAAAAAAACAGCAGCTGAAGCATATGTGGGAGAAAAAAAACATTAAACTGTAAATGCCAACTAAAATCTACCTGTCAGGGGAGGCACCTGTCCTCCAACAAGGTCAAGAGCCAGACATGACGGGCTTGGCTGCACCGAGGTCCCCGGAGGAAGCCGCGTGCTGTTGATCAGCACATCAAATTTAGTGCTGCGGCAGGTGTTGCTGCACACCGTGTCATGCTGGTAGAAATCTATCTGGCCGGAGTCCATCATTTTCCTGCGAGGGGAGGAGAGACGAGTTAAAAGAACACTACGGAGTATCTGAGAAAAGTGTGGATTGAATTTGTTGAACAGTCTCAGTGGCTTTCCAGAGGTTTGTTTGACACAAAGCCCATCGGCCTGACCTCTGGGGGAATGGAGATGAAAAGAGCAGATATTGCCTATTGAGTTGGTATATTGACTCACAGTAACACCAAGAACAAGTGCAAACACGATAAAGGGGTGAGAAGTTTCACTCAGCAGCTTGCCTGCGTGTTATTTGATCCGGCTATCATAAAAATGCTGCTTACCAACTACCTCTGGAATGTACTGGCAAACCCCAGCGCAGACAGACTCCACGCAAGTGCAAATTATATGCATGAGATATGCTGTTGACTTCATTTGATTGAGGTGTTTGTCTGACACTTTAACCCCAGTGCAACAAAGTAATTAAAGGTCATGCAGATTAACAGTTAGCATCAGTCAGCAGCTATGAGGAAGAGGACAGCCAGAGACGTAGTGGTTTTTTCTTTTTGTTTCCCACAAGTCTACCTGAGCATTACCCCTCCCAGTCTGATGGCCCGTTTCCAGTCCTTAAGAGTGGCTTTCCCTGCCAGGTGGACAAACTGCTTGGGACTGATGAGCTGGTCATTAAACTGTAAAAGAGGAAGACAGCACAAATGTATGCTCATGATAGCTATCATAAGTATGTGGAGAGTGGCATGAGGCAGATATGGCAGACAGGATGTGAGGAAAATGTGCGAGGAAGGTTTAACTAAGTCAACTTACTTTGACACATCTGACGTTGATCCCAGGGCACACAAACTTCTTAAAGAGTAGAACCGCACGGCTGTCTCCACAGGTGATGGGGTAGCCGTACTCGATCTCCTCTCCTTCTGCTTTACTGTCTTCTATCAATCACAAGCCAAAAAAAAAACACTTGCAAATGTGTGGAATTGTATTATACACTCAACAGCAGAGCAATGCATTCATTAATCAGAGTATAACTTCGCATACTGTATCAGCAAAGTAGGATTGCTTAATGCATAATGTTCACAGGAATACCCTCCTGTTGTAGTTCAATGTAAGGGGCGAGGGGTCGGGATGGGAATTGAGAACAGGTTTCAAATTGTTTGATCCACTGGAATCACATGCCACCAAGTATATCAATTCCTTTTATCGATGACGGCATGTTTTTCTGACAGTTATGCAATGCAAAACAATGACGTCAAGCTCATGTGTCTAGACTGCTGTAAACCTGCACAAGAACAAGTCACGGCGAGACGAAGAAACGGTCCAAAGCGTGGCTTCATTTCACAAATAAAGATGACAACAGTGCTGCTTGTAACATCTGTTAAATAACAGTTTCAAGTCAGGGTGGAAATACCAGCAACATACTGAAACATATTTTTTAAATTCCTAAGAAATCCCGGGAAAGCCATTTATTTGACACTCTACATGAGTGCCACAGCTTCCAAACTAAGCCAGGAGTAAATATTCTATGTAATAACAACATTAAAACAGATTTTTCCTTTGACTGAAAAAATCGAAATGAAAATGAATGCTGTACAAATAATCTCTCATTTCATCTTTACTGTAGTCAGACTCAAACAGCTGTGTTGATGCTGAAAACCTGTGTTGGCCTATTTTTTTTCCACACAGTAAATTAATCAGGAATCAATAAGGCAATCAATAATGAATCGGACCAATAAGCAGACTAGATAATGGCATTGATATCAATAAAATCTCATCTATTCCCATTCTAGTGAAGGGAAACGTCTCTGTGTCACGTACCATGATGCGTCTCTATGGCCAAGACTGTCGTGCCAGTGTCAGCAATGTCGTCGTTTATCCTGCAGAGGGCGACAGAACTCACACATTTAACAGAATAATCATTTCATGCAAGCTGAGGGTTCTGAATTTAACAGCATAGCTTTTATATATTTACCCTTTTTTTAAGAAATTTAAGTGCTCTTACTTTAAGTGCTTTAAGAATATTAAGTGCTTTTAACATTCTCAGTATAATGTATTCTTTGACTTAAGCCTGGAATCAGTAGCAGTGATGTAGAATTATGCTATAAAATTTCCTAAAGAAAAAATATCATGATAAAAATCTGTCTATACATTTACATTAGCCTCTCTATTGTGTCTCACAGCAAATGCAAAACATCACTTGGCCCTTTCATGATATAAGCCACGTTACCCGTGCAGGATGGGCTGCAGGTGCAGGATGACTTGAGTCTTATGGTTGTTGCCACTGGACTCCCCTTCCTCCTCCTTCACCGTCATGAGATCCCCTGAAGACACGGTGACCTCAGCACCCGCCATCACCCCCTCCCCACAGAGCTGCACGCAGGGAAGGCCAAGCACGCATGTTAGCATCCAGATCACACACACACATGCATGCAGTGATGCCATTTAATACACACACAAGTCAATGAAAGCCTCCCCCCCAACTGTCTTTTCTGGCATGCAACTGTCATGGAAATGAATCCATACTGGGCTTAAAATGACATAATCCTTGCATGGGCAGGCCTTGGTGCTTAAAGTGCCGTTGAGGATGTACATGAATGTCCTTGATGATGGGACAAAAGCTTATAGGTTTGACTACAACCTGGGGTGTGAGGTCAGAAGTGTAAAAATGGTGCAGCAGTGAACATATATATTGGAGTAAAATTCTCAAATTAAATCATATCAGCACTTTGTTTGTTTGTCCAACCTTGTGGCATTTGGGCCTTTTATTTAGTCACAAGTATGTTACCAATAAAAGACCTGTTGAAATTATTAGCAAATTGTTAAATCCCACTTGACATCACTCTCCAGAGTCAGCTATTTTTTGTGACTGCAGTCATGATGTCAAGTATGGAGCTAATCCTGTACAGTTTCTAAAAAGGTTACACTTACATTATGAAGGATAAGATCCTTAATTACTGGAAATATAGATGTCATAAACTAAATTTAGATGGGTCAAATGTCATTAAAGTGTCCACTGAACTACTGTCTATGAGCATTAGAAAATGGAGGAAAAGAAATATGATATCCTTAAATGATTACAGAATATCAAATAAGAAATTGTTGCTGCGTTTATTCTCTGCTGTCCAAAATATTCTTTCAGTCCTCCACAAGCAGCAGCTGAGGCGTTACATTCACTTGGCGACAATAGCAGCACAGAGAGGAATAAAGGAGACATGAACAAACTGTCTGTGAGGTTAATTCCATAGTAAAGAAACAAAACAACCTTCAGTGCAGTGAAGAGCAGACTACATTACATTTATCAACATATTCCACACTGTATTAAGTCGCCCCTGTTGGATAACTAACTCCTACACGGACAGTTGCGTGCCTTTCTCACCCTCCTTCACCCACTCAAACTGACGTCTGTCGGTGCGGCAGCACGCACACCCCGGACAACAACGGTGCGACGGCGCGCTCCTGTCCCACAGAGGGTGCAGAAAAACCCACCGGGTCTACCCCTAAAACTCCCAAAACACACAACCTGCTACTTTAAAGATCACTGTAATAGTTTTACTCACCGTTTTACAGCAGCGGATAGTTCATCCTCCGCTTGGCAGAGAGGCACGAGAGCATGCGCCGTGCTGCTTCGTTACACTTCCTGCAGTGAAGGCAGCATTTGCCTGAGAAGCATCTGTCCCGCTGTCACGAGAAGCGGTTAGTTCGCACGCGATGTGTAAATCGGTCAAACTGCTCTTATGTGCGAGGCACGGCTTGGTTAGAGTTACCTCAGAGCCATAGTGCCTCATATGCTGCAAGACTGAAACCTTCACTAATGTGTTTTTATCCTAAATGAAGTCATGGACGTGTTTTAACAGACGTTCTCTCCAGTGGTGCGTTTGTGTGTCAACAACGCCGCGGTGTTTCGGGTGCCACTTGTGTGGCCTAATTGTGTTTGTCATACAATAAATGATACACAGAACAGTTGCGTGCTGTGTTTTTGTTGTTGCCTGCGTTTCACCAGCAGGTGGCAGCGTTTGCACTTGTTTAATTATGATGAAGGTGTGTCACAGACAAGATACTTCTGTTGGTTTTAACTATAAAAGGTGTTTGAACGCAGCATTTTAACCGTTTGACTCAGTAAAGTAGCCTCTGAAGAAGAACAAAGCAATCTGCGCTCCTGGTTCAGTGCTGCCATATAACCAGACGGCAGTAAATAATTAGTATTACCGCCAACGGCTGGTCTCAGATCAGCACACACCTACCAATCAGCCCACCCCCTAGATGGGAATGGAATGTTTGGGATTCTTTGATTGGCAGTCGCCGAGAACCAATGAGAGGTCGAGTCTGAGTCTCGCGGCCAATAGTAAATATCCAGTACTTTGCACTATAACTTTTTTACCGAGGCCAGATTGAAGCTCGAGCCGTCCGGGCTTGCACCTTACTTTTCTCACGCGGAGCTCTGGAAATCATGCTGGCAAAGTGCAAAAACATCTGGGATGCTGTGAAGTCTCTTGTAGCCGGTTTCTGGATCACTTTTAGCGTGTGTTCCGTCGGTGTTCACGGCCAGGAGGGTAAGGAAAAACTTATTTTGTTGACGGTTTGGATAAGATAAAGGATGTGTCGCGAGACTTTATTCTAAACATCTTGTTAGCTGTTGTTACTAAGATACAACGGCTGCTAGCTTAACGTGACTTTTGCACATTAACAGCTAAAAACACATTAACTGCGAGTTTATTTTAACTTAATAGCATGTAATAACTTGGTCTTAAAGCACTGGCAGAAGTGCGACAAGCACCAATGACCAGCAGGCTTTAAAACAACCTTTGCATCCTTCTTAAAAAAAGTCATTAACGTTATCTTAAACGCCCTGCTGTCGTTGGCTTAATTACACATGAGCAACTAATATGCTAACTGATATCACCATTACCTGGGCTTGAAATGAGTCCTAAATGTATATAAATATGTTCTGCTATCAATTCTACTTTTATGATATGAACCACAAGAAACCTCAATGAGTCTAACTATAATAATATTTGTGTTTTGGTCACTGCCATAATGCTGTATTTGAAATTGAAATAGGCGCAAAGGTCGGCCATGTGATGTCATGGTAGCATTCTTTACATACTCTTCCCCTGTGCATGTTTACCTACTGATCCCAGCTTGTAGCTTACCTTTCCCACATGTTTTAACACAACAGCAGACAAGTCCATGTGCAGCATGAATCACAGTGACCTTGCATACACACAGACTGATAGAAAAGCAATTTACTGCCCCTCAGGCTGTGACTTCAACACTCAGCCACACCACTAATCTTTTTTGTTGATGTTTGTCTGTCTCTGGGGATTTGGTTTCCTCACATCGGAAGATGATTAAATCCAGGGTCAATTATTTATTCTGAATCACTTTTTGCTTTCTGGAAAGTATGCAGAGAGCTTCGGTGGGGCTTAGGTATGGGATGAAACTTTTCAGCCACAGTGTTGTAACGTTGTGATTGACACACAAGACAGAATAAGGCAATGTAGTGACAGGTAGCACAGGTGAACATCCTGTCTGCTTGTGTGGACCTGTGAAGACCTGCCAGCTAAGCCCCAAGTGGAAAAAACAATGTAGCCGGGCTGCATTTGATTGACTGTCTGCTATCCTGCCACCCAGTTTGACTCTTCTGTAATTCATTTTCTAAATTTTCCAAACTGGTCAGAACAGGCCAAACACATATCAGTCTCTGTGTGAAACCAGAAACAGACAGGACTGGAGACAGTGTGAGCAAAAGGGTTCAGTGAGCAGGGGGGAGATTACCGGCCACCCAGAACTTCCCCAGCACTGCAGCCTCTGTGGCCTCCCACAGGAAGGTGACAGATCCATGCTCTGTTGCCCACGGTTAAAGTACATTGCTGTCGCATTTCCAGGGAATCCTCTGGGGACTTGAGGAGGGGCAATAACATCCAAAGGTTTATGGTATGAGGAGCTGAAGAGCTGTCGGGAAGTAGGGAAACGGCTGGTGTGGTGCAGGATGTGTGTGACACAGGGTGAGTGGAAGGTTATCCTCCTGTTTCCCCTCAACAAACCTCTAGAAGCCTTAAAAGGAAGTCAAGGACATGGAGGATGCGTAGGCTCAGATGGACCCTGGTGCCTTTTTCAAGTTTTGACCATTCTCGGAACACGTCATGACTTGACATTTTGGTGGTAGGGTTTGAGCCTGCCGCCCCCACAGCACTTATCTCTGTATGACCACTGTGGGAATTGACTCATTTATTTTCTCTGACCCACGGGGATGTAAGAGGATCTAAATATTTATGTTTTCCGTTCCAGTTTAAGTGTTAGTCACGGCAACCACAGGTCAGAGGATGTAATTAATCAACATTTGAGAAAAACAGTGTTCGTGAGTAAAGTGTTGCATAAAATAAAACTAAAGGTCGTAGTGTTTGGAGTATTTCCATCATAGACGTGTGTGTCATCTCACTGTTATGATCAGAAGAGTATAAACATGCCCTAGTCTGCTGTGCATGTCCAGAAGAGAAGTATTAGTCATCTGTCCTGAAATGATGCATTAACAAAGCCCTTAATATTCTGTGTATTATGTCAGACAATTAATGGTGAAACTGTCTGCGGTTATGTGTTTCTGGCTTTATTTAAGCTTGGGGTGCTCAGCTCTTAACTCTTTGCCTGGCACAGATGTTTAAGAAGTGAAACTTATTAGTTATAAAATACTTTAATATCTACCAGCTTTGTGAGACATAATTCATGTTAGTACCTGTAAACAGGACTGACATTGCACTGTACGACTACAACAGTTTGGCAATTAATGAATTAGTCAATCTTCAGATGATTAATAGGCAAAACATTTGATATTTGTGTAACTATTTTAAAGTCATGCTAGTAAGAATGAACCAAAGAATGAAAGAATGACCATTGGGCAATTTTTATATATTTGCTACTCTACACTCATGATTAAATGCCGAATCAGATGCCTATGATGCAATTGTAAAACAATCAACATTCGTTTTCTCACTGTGTTACTATTTGTTACTTTTAAACAGAATGATTCACACTTATAAAAGTCAAATCAAATAAACAGATGAATTTACTTACATTATCTTTTATTAATACAATAGTAGTAATAAATGGAAGATGGAAGCCAGAATGTTTCCATACACTAGCTTTTAGGTCAAGGGGTGCCGCTCAGATTGTATCCCTCTAGGGTTGCTTACTCTCTGCCATCCTCACCAAAACTGTTTACATGATAAATACCACAATCCAATAGGTTTAGTCATAAGGAACATACAGCTCACTTACAAAATTATTACAGGCAAACATAATGGAGAAGTAGGTTTTTAATTAACAGTTATTGACTTTGCTGAATTGAGACATAATCTCTCAACAGCGAATTACTGTTTATTATTCCAGGTGATGGCTGTGGACATACACTGCTGGGCACAGAGTCGGGCACATTGGCCTCTCAGAACTATCCAGGCACCTACCCCAACAACGCCTGGTGTAAGTGGAGGCTTCGAGTGTCAGAGGGGCGAACGTTGCGACTGCTGTTTGGGGATTTTGACGTTGAGAGCAGTCCGGACTGCAGGAATGGCTCTCTTGTGATCACAGGCAAGAGCGGAGAACGCATTCTGGGTAAGCTTGTTCACCGCTGGTGGAATACAGTGTGTTTTAAAAAGCACCTCGGGTTGATGTTTGATCACTGTATCTAGAAGTGCACCTCTGTCTCCTGCATCAGTTCTTTTCTCAAAATACCTGCTGATAGACTTTTAATGTTGATGTTTTCCCAGCTATGATTGTGGATTACACACAAGGCATGCCATTCCTTTGACACATTGACAGAAGAGACAAACCCAATTTCGCAACAGTGCAACAGACACATGCACGTTCTCCAACCAGGTGTATCAAGTCGTGTCTTGAGGGCATAAAATTTTGACAGGGCCCCAAAAATGAGGGCTGAGCGTTTCAGGATTCATGCCTTTTGTGTTTATTATTGGATTCCTCACAACTTGGCTCATGATTTTTATTTAGGTGTCTCTTCTGGAGAAGTGTTCTTACATGCAGTCTGTGTGGCTCTGCTCTTTACCTAACAGTTATTGGTGTGAGATACGAAGGTGACAGGATAACACTAGTGGAGTTAAAGCAGCTACAAGGGGTTTTTAACAGGTTATGAAACTGTCCTAATTTAATACTGATGTCTCTTTGTGACCTACATAAGCAAACTGCCATCAGCGAGAAGATTGGCTGTTTCTGTATAGTTAATCCTAAATCCTGTTCCTGGGTTTGATTTTCTGCTAAATTAGACCAAACTGTTTACAGCACACAGACCACAAGAGCCCAGGTTTACATTTTCTCAGAAAAAGTTTCACAGTGGGTAATACGTTAGCCAGTTAAAAAGGAGCAGAAGGAAATTTTTCTTTAGATAATGCACTGTTTGAAGTTATATTTTGTGGTTACGTCTGATACTGGGGCAGGATCAGTGAAGAAAAAAGAAAAGAATTGACCAAACAAATCTGAAAGGGACATTGAGAGCAGATATTGCGACTTTTTAGTGGAAACTGTCATTTTTTCATTTAATTTTCACTGAAAAATATTTAAGAAATGATGATGATGGGATTTTTGCTGGGGTCTGTACCAAACAAGCATATTCCCT